TCCAGATCACAAAAGGTCTGTCATTTTGTTTGCCAGTAATCCCTCCCTCCCTCTCTCTCTCTCCCTGGCTCCCTCTCTCGCTCTCTCCCTGCCTCCCTCTCTCTTTTTGTCCCTCTCCACCTCGTGATTTCCTGGAAAACTAAACTAAAACTTTGAAAAACATGGGGATCAAAACATTGTTGAAATCGTTTGGATGTAAACGTCTTACAAGCTAAAGCAGGTGACACCCTAATCTCAACGTTGGCACAACCTTTGGCATGGAGACATGGCATCCTGACTCACTTAAATCGACTTTGTGTAGACAGAAACCAGAGATCTAGTGGACTAACTGTTCTATTGATACGTCCTGTGCCTTGATAATCAAGGCTCAAGGTTTGCACAATGAAATGTGCAAACACAATAAGCTACACAATGCTACACAATAAGCAAATGCATGAATGAGACAAAGACAATACATTGGAACAGAATTAAACTAATATTAACTTCGTGTTGCCCCTTGGGGGTCAGGGAAAACCAACACAGTATTCAACAAGTTTGGCCCGTCAGCATGCACTTTGATTCCAAACTCTGGCAGCTTATTATCAGCACGCCTCTTTGTGCAAAGAGCACGATGCAAAGAAAGAGCACAACCGCCTGAAACGAGGGGGCGTCCAAGCCAGTGTAGGAATCGTGGCAGTTTCTCTAACGCCATCTAGTGAGTCAACTTTTGATTTACCCACCTGCAAGCTGTGTCCTCACTAACCTCACTAAAATAGTCCTTCATTTTTTCACCCAACAAAGTTACAATCTACAGTATAATATGACTGAATGAATCCTAATGCATCAGGCTCCATTCAGCTTTCATCTCCTACTCGGCTCCTTACGTCCCCCCAATATGGCCCCTCAAACGGCAAGAAACGACAATATGGTAGCAATCAACAATGTCTGTAACAAAGTGTCCTTGTGCTGTCATTTTCTGCATAACTAACAGTGTGTGTGTGTGTGTGTGTGTGTGTGTGTGTATTTAGTATGCAGTATTACACACTGCTGCCCTCCCACACCCCTGTGTATGAGATCCAAGGAGACAAGCTGGCCAGTCATAACAGAAGAAAGACACCAACTACTCACATCACGCCACCGAGATACCACCGAGGATCATCAACACGCCATCTGTGGACATCTGGTTGCTTGATTAGTGATTTAAAGGTATGTTTTATAGAGTTTTATTTAGCTGCAATGTGAGGAAATGAGTGAATTGATTGAACCAAATAAAACAAGCTGGAGCAAGTTTAATGCACTTATTCTTACTTACATTACTGTTGTATTGCACTGGTTACAAAAAACAACATGCAGCATTGGCTCAGATCTAAAATTATTCAACTAGTTCATTTAAAATGTGCTTCTTTTATTGTACATTTGTTGAAAACTGTCATCTTAACAGTGGGTGCTGCTCCAGAAAGGACACTGAGGAGAAGAAGGGGACTCATCTCAAGATCTCACAATCCTTGGACGTCTCACTGAATGACTGAGAATATACCGTGGGAAGCTTTGACTTTCATCTACTGAGAGCTCAGTAACCTCCTGCTGAGAAAAACAAGAGAAATATCAGAGAGATCTTTCTATTTTTCTTTCATTGAGAGCGAGAGAGGAGCTTCTTCACCGGCCATGGCATCCACAGGTCTTCAGCTGCTGGGCTTGGTGTTGGCTGTGCTGGGTTGGGTGGGCGGAGCGTTGGTGTGTGCGGCTCCTCTGTGGCGTGTGTCCGCCTTCGTGGGTGGAGAGCTGGTGATCGCCCAGGTGTTGTGGGAGGGACTGTGGATGAACTGCCTGTCTCAGACCACAGGCCAGATCCAGTGCAAGACCTACGACTCCACCCTGGCCCTGCCCACGTCTACCCAGGCCGCCCGGAGCGTCACTGTTCTCGCCCTGCTCCTCTGCCTCCTGGCTCTCATGCTCGGGGTGGCAGGGGCCAAGTGTACTCACTGCATGGGGGACAGTAACCAGGCCCCCAAGGCTCGGCTGGCCAGGATAGCAGGGCTGCTCTTCCTCGTGGCTGGCTTGGCCTTCCTGATACCCATCTGTTGGACTGCCCATGCGATCATCAGGGACTTCTATGATCCGACTGTCGCAGCGCCTTTAAAGAGAGAGCTGGGGCCGGCGCTCTACTTGGGCTGGGGGGCCAGCGTGCTGCTCCTGGTGGGGGGCTCTCTGCTCCACCTGGGCTCCTCTCCACCAGGAGCAAGAGCACTGCCTGTTTTCGGCAGAGCAGCGAAGGACAACCCACTGACAGGGGAGGCGAAGCAACAGGACAAATCTTTTGTATGAGATGATTTTAATGGACATGTGAGGTCAAACTTCAAGGTCACCATCTATTAGAGAACATCAGCCGATATTGTGTTTACTATCTTATAAAGCAGGGTTTCCTTTTGTTTATTTAAATCATAATGTGGACTTATTTTACATTTATTACATGATGAGCTACTAATGGGTTTCTAATAGAATTTACATAATGTATTAGCTTTCTGCCAGAGTGGGATTTGACATGAATTGTGGGAGGTTTCAAATGTTTAAAAGTTGACTCATGTGTGTGACTTACATTTCTTAAATTCCAGTCTGCCTCTGCTTGTGTGTGTATGTGTGTGAGTGGGCGGTCTGTGTACAGAAGGCCAGTGTACATGGCATATCTGTGTATGCTGCTGTGTTCACTGACTATGTGTGTAGGCAGTCAGAGCGATGCTTGTTTATTTACTTTGTATGAATGTTGATTGTTGATGAAGGAATATTAGGGACATTCAGCAAATTTACCCTCCACATTTTATTTTTCTTTTATTTCTTTATTCTTGTTTGTATTTATTTTGTACTGTGATTCTGTGTAATGTGTTTCTACTGCACTCTTTTATTGATATCAGTTCAAACAGCCTATTGTCTACATTTTACAGCTTTTTCATTTGCCTTCATATCAGAAAAAGTTATTCATATTTCAGTATTATTATTTCCAGAAGTAGTTTTTTAAATTGAATTTAACAAAAGAAAAACGAGTTGCTGATCTGAACTGTTTTAATAGTTGCCCTTGTGTTCTCTGATTCTGTGTGTCGTGTACTAATAATGCTCACCATTGTGTCTGGCGAGTCTTACGTCTACAGATGTAGAAAGTCTTATAATGTTTCATCCAGCGTTTACCGCAGTTAACTTAATAACATCGTATAATATACAGTATTCAGTACATAAGTGTGACATTTCATCTTCCATCTTTAGTTGTTTGTATTGACTGTTTGTATGATTTATAACCACTTATACACAATAAATACATGTGTTTGCATTCCACTACAACTGTTTTCAATTATACTTTAGAAGTAAGCCCAGTCATGTTTTCAAGGACTGTGAAACACAGGATTATTCCCGTCTTCTTCAAGTTATCACGTATATTACCTACCAGAGAGATATGTTTGCTGCCATCTTGTTTCCTGAGTTTGGGGAAAGTGGTGCTTATTTAAATTGACAACGACTCGACCCCAGTGTGATCATCCCAAACCATTATTCAACCACTTTGAGTGGTGGAGTGGTGACAGCAGACATTGTACACTTGGGGGCAGTAAAGACTCAGGAACTGATGTGCCTACTATAAGAACTGATTATGTATATATACAGGCAGTGCGCAAGACAATGTAAACACTTGATGAAGAGTTATATATTTGAGTTAAATTAACAATAGCACAAATGGAAATGAATATCCGTTTGAGAGCCAGTTTGCAGCTTTTATCAACCTCTTATGTCTTTCATAGCGTATTTGATATTAAGACTAAGATTTATCGTTCTTGCTGTTTTCTAGGTGTGAGTTATGTGTGTTAAATGAAAAGCTAGACTTGATTCACGACACTAATTTATTGGAGACATTATTACAGACACTGACACAGCATGGGGCCAACAGTCGAGACATATTCAGTGTCTGTATTGCCTGCATGCTAACCTGCACAAAAACAGATTTAGTGAGAGAAACAGTGTTTAGGACCTGCTGCACTCTGGACTGAGCTAAAAGTTCCTCTTTTCTCTTACACAAACAAGGGTGTAACTGTCCTGATGCAGGTCTTTAAGGTGGACACTTTTCCTCCCTTCTCTAGATAAAGTGAGACAACATATTTTGTATCAACCAACCTCACTGCTAATGGGACGTGGTGACATCTGTCTCAAAATAAAACAACCCGTTTTAAAATGATTAGATTAGATTAAAATACCCTGCAATGAACATGCAGGTCGTTTTATATGTGTCTCATGTGTGTGTTGAATCTGACTTCCCAAATGACAAATTGTAGTAAACTCAACTCAATTTCCGTGTGTATGTGTGTGTGTCATAAGCCATGCATATGAAGTTACATAAAACTAATAACGTTCGTTTCACGGTGAACGGAATTAACTTTTTGCTTACTTGAGAACCTCAACTATTGTCCTCTTCCTCTTAAAGGGACAGCGGGAGTATTTCGACTCTGCAGCTGCAGGAAGGATGCGTGTCGCTTTAAACCTCACATGACAGTTCGTAGAGGTGAAAGTGGGCTGCTGTGTGTGACTTTGCACTGCGCTGTTTTGGGGCTTTAGCATTCTCATACCCCGCTGTCGACCTTTGGAGCTCGGGGCGGGTAGGCAGCTCCGCCGTCCACGGAGGCAATTGGCTGCGCTCTCCATAGCCGCTTCCTATTGCACATTGTGGCCCAAACACAGCAGACCGTGCACACACCTCGTGTTTTTACACGCACGTTATGGGGCGCGAGTGTGCACGATGCTGCAGGAGTCCAAGGTCCTATCGGTCCGTGGCGCTCTTATAGGAATGTTTAAAGAGTAACGAGGTTATCCGTGTCCAGCAGACCACACGCTGCTGACAGTTGTGCCCTGCAGGCCAGGAAGCCGACCGAGCAGGCGGACGGAGTGTCGAAGGCGGACTGGGAGGAGAAGTCACCGCTGTAGCAGCATCGGGCAACGGCAGAGCACGGAGCCATGACCGAGAAACGGATGTCGCGGTGGTATTTCGGTGGGCTGGCGTCGTGCGGGGCTGCTTGCTGCACGCATCCTCTGGATCTGCTGAAGGTAAGCTGAGGGCAACAGTCGGCGTGTAACCCTCCGCCGGTGTGTAGAGGAGACAGGCCTGAATACCAGGCGACAGCTGTTTCCAGCAGTAGACCTACAACAGGATAGATTACAGTTATTAACCTCCTGACCTAACCATCGTGTTACTGTTATAGATCTCAGTGTGCGTGTTAGCCGCGGTGAGCTTTTAGAGGGCCTGCCATAGTCCGAGGTATCGCATGTCTTTCATGGCATCACTGTAATGTCTATCAGGATGGCCAAGGCTGTTCAAAAATAGGGCACAGGTTAAGACAAGCGAGAGCTTGTCAGCCCAACTACCAACTTATGTAGTGAAGTAATTGTTGTATTCATTTTAAAGTACACAGAATAGCCCAATGTAGCATTATTTTTCTATTCAATAGTTATGTTTTGTTGAGATAAATAGCCTACAATGTAGCAATTTACCCTTTTCTAAGCCCCGCCCCCTGCTGCTACTCTGTCAAACTGTCGGAGCTACCCTAACCAAGGAGCCCACACTGCCACTAACTGCTGTATACATATTATTACATTGTTGGGGAAACAGAAAAGCAGACGGGGATATATCCGGGATGTCAAACTGATTCAGCAGCATTGAAAAAAAGATTAAGATCAAAGTCTAAAGAGTATAAATGATCACAGAAGACAATAAAATTAGGCAACACTGTTCCTGTGACGCCGGGTAGGTCTTAATTCACTGTTACAATCATAAAGAAGCAAAAGCAGCATGTGTGAACATTCAGTATACCTTCAGAAGCTAGCGTAGCATAGAAGTTAGTGACGTGCTAACATACTCTGCTAACACCTAAACCAGCCTGAAAATGAAGGAAAAGAATGGCACGAGAGTTTATAGAGCAGAGCAGGAAACTTGTCCGACCTTGTGTGTGTGTGTGTGTGTGTGTGTGTGTGTGTGTGAGAGAGAGAGAGAGTGTGTGTGAGTCAGTGTGTCAGTGTGTCAGTGTGTCAGTGGGGTCATGCATGTTCACTCTTGTTAATCTTTGCATCACTGTGAGGCACAGAGTAGTAAATCAGTAGGCTACATCTCTACCTAATTTACTTTACTGGCACCTCTCTCTTGTTTGCTTCGAAGACAGCTGCGCATGACTCTGATAATGCCAACTGCTCCTCAGGCAGTCACGCCATGTGTAATTACGTAGACGAGGTCGTTAATCATCACATTGCAGTAAAACTCTCCTCTGGAGTGCTTTATTTCTGCCCTATCTTTCCTACTAGCTGGTGATGCCATAAGTACATATAGTATATAAAACAGAGGAATTCAACAAACGAAAAAAGTGATGACCCCCAAAAAAGGAGAAAGTCATGTTCCCCGCGGTGTAGTCCTGAGCCACTTCTCCAGTGGACTAAATGTCCACATTGAGTGTACATGGGCTGGGTGAATAGATGGTAGTTCTTTAAGAACACTAAGAACTGTCAGGTGTTTGTTAATCCAAGACTGGGAGACTGTTTGTTAATCTAAAACCACAGAATGTGACCTTTGTGTCTTCCAGCTGCAGACACAGTAGATGTGCTTGGTGGATTTCCTGGATTTTTGATCAACTCTAAACAAAGCAAAGTAGAATATTTTAAGGAGATATCACTATTATTAATCACAACCCTGTCTAAGCAGTAAACATGCTCTCTTGAGAACTTTTCATAAATATATGTATTCTGCAGTTGTCTGAGGACATTCTGATTTATGCATAATAATAACAAATGCAGCTCAAATGACAGTGGCGTGAACCTACTATTTTTATATTCATTTGATCTTAATTCCAACAAGTCAGTATGACTCTGGTTTCTATCCTTGCGTTTTGATCTGCATTAGTTTGGGATTGTCTTTAAGTCCAAGAAAGACTCACATTGGTTTACAGACGGGGTTGGAATTGAAACAACTGAAATTTGCAAATGCCATTCCTTCAAATCCCTAAAAATGGAAAAGAAAATGATTCCTTAAATCTTGAGCCCTGTTTTTTTGCCTGTGTTGGTTCACATTTTTGAAAATTGGCACCGTTAACAGTATGCAGAATGTTCCTGTTTTCCATGTACCCATGTGACCCCGATCACTAGATTACTTTGATACTGAAGAAAACCAAAAAATGTAACGATTCAGGCAAGTTCTAGACCTATTGTTTTCCATATTCTCTAAATGTATTTATGTTTATTTATGATGACATGTTTTTATATCTTATGATGTTCTCAGTTGTGCAACAGAAAACGTATCCATATACTCAGAACATCCCCCTGGGTTCTCTGTGTCATCCAATACATCTTTCACTCTTCATCGTCGATGGAGCAGCTACACACTTTATACCTGATGACATCACACATTTTAATTTTAACACTCTAGTTTTTGGATTTCCTGATTTTAGATCTTAGGAATAATGTGAATGCATTTTGAAAACAGGCGTAGTTCCCCTTTAAGGGACTATCATTGCCTCCGTGGGACCAGCCGTTGATGCAGTTCCAGCTGCTTCCCAAGTTGCTAAACAGGTCAAACTACAATAAGTGACTTCCCCTTGCAAAGCTTACGCAGTCTCTTAAATCTTGGAATCAATACCTGAGCCTCAGTCATTGTTTTCCTTCAGGTCCATTGTGTTGTACAGTGCAGAACAAAAGAATGTGTCACTGTCCAAATACTTACAGACCAGCGCCAGTCATGTGGTCTTACCCCAATCAAACTGCTGGAGTGGCAGTCGGGGGAGAAATGTTCTAGGTGTTGGATGTAGAT